CTCACTAGAAACCCGAGACTCATAAGCCACTAAATTGAGGAATTTGAGCGGCCTCCCAACAAGCTTCTTGGGTTCGACCCAAAATTCTCACAGCACAGGATATTGACATCCACACCAGGGACCACTTGAGCGATCGTATGAGCTTCTTGGCCGATGCAAAATCTGACTGCACCTGGCGAAGATCATCGAGCATAAAACGCGCGCATGCCGACCCCAAAACAAAGTCCGCAGCAGGAGTTGGGATGCAGCAGTAGCAGGCGCGAAGGGACGCAGCCCCTACAGCAAAAGAAAGAGAAGAAATAATTGAGAGGAGAGGCAACCCTAAATGAAATCCAGTACTTGTTGCAGGTTGCTCCGGCGTCCTCTGGTATGTCGGGAATTGCACGGTACAGAAACGGAGACCGAGAAGCGAAAACCCTAGACGGACTCCCGCCAGTTGACCTGATTTCCTTTGGGTGTCAAACCAAAACACGTTGCGTGCTGTTATCCCTGTTAAATTTTCCCAGACGGCCATTGAGATCTTGAGCTGCAAGCGCGATAATTTTTTAAAGGAAAACCTTTATAATTTAGAATAAGTTTTTTTTTTCAAAAGATGTCCACAAAGAATTCAATATCAGTGTTAATATAAATTAATATTAATATTAATTTTTAAATTTTCCCAGGTTTTGTTTGTTGATTTTGAGTTTGCTTTCTTCGTTTGTATTTGGATATTGGTATCTGTTCTCTAAGAAATATATTAATATCAAGTAATATAACTGGGTATGTTTGAATAGAATTTTAAAAAAGAAATATACAAAATGGATCCCAAATATGCACATCCGGCCGAAATGGTCTAATCAGTATAAAGTTCCTAAACACTAGTTAGAGATTAAATTTTGAAGCAAAATACAATTAATTTGATGAAAAATGAGTTTAAAATTACTAACTATTAAATCAGATTTCATAACAATTTTATCAATTCCTAAGAATATTTTTAAGAAAATGAGTTCTTTAACAAAATTATGGGGCAATATAGCAATTTTTTAAAAAAAAATTCAGCATAATATTACTTTGAAAAAATTAACTCATTTATTAAAAATAATGAACTTTTTGAACCTATCCAAATTTAGTTTGATAGCTATTATATTAAGTAATGAAAATGGTGTTGTTTATTTCTTCTTGCCTAGCTTTTGATATTGATACTTTTAACTTATTTTTTGAGAAATGATCAGTTCTTTAACAAAATCATGGAGCAATATGACATTTTTCTTTTAAAAAAAAAGTAATATTGCTTTAAAAAAAATTAACCCACATTCATGACAAATAACTAATTTTTATTTATTTATTCAAATCTAATTAAGTAGCTCTTATATTAAGTAGTGCTAGTAGTATTATTTATTACTTCTCATCTAACTTTTGATGTTGATACTTTGAACTTCTTCTCAGAGAGATTATCAGTTTTTTAAACGAAATTATGGAGCAATGTAGCATTTTTATAAAAAAAATCAGTGTAATATTACTTTTTCTAATACTCGGCGTTGGCTTAAAAAAGGCATCTCAATCTAATCTCATAGTTAGTCAAATATTGATTGTTGAATGGCAACGTTGCAAATATGTTGCTTGGAAATCCCCACGCATATTTATTAGATGAAGTTCGTTTGGTTTGTCCCAACTCATTCCAACCCTCGATGATTCTGTCTTCAAAAGAAACATGTTTAAGATTATTTAATTCCTAAATTTAAACATGTTTGATGAACTAATGAAGGGCTACAAAATATAAAACTACAAAATTAATAGAGGGGTGAAAAAAGAAACTAAAAACAGTAACGTACTATTGGCAAATCCATAAAAACACCTGGAGAGAATAGTCAAGCGAATTTATTTTGTCAACATAATATGAAGATAAGTCTCAAAGAAGACAATACTTAAATCAAGAATCCTACTTCAAAAGGAGGCGGAGAAGGATGGCCACAGGGCTGAGCTTCGGCATGTTAGAAGTATTGCTGCCAAAAAAAAAAAAACATAAAAGAAAAGTAAATAACTACTCACACGCATAACTACAAATACAGAGATGTGTGTGTGTGTGTGTGTGAGAGAGAGAGAGAGAGTAAATAAAGCAAGAGTTCATTCTTTCTCATTATCAATAAGAAACTCTTAACATCAAGCAAACAAACAAGAGCTAATCATCTCAGTTGTAACATCTGTTAGTTTATCAGCCAGCTTCTATTATGCTCAGCACAAACCAAGACACAGCGTATGAAGATATAACCAGATAATAGGTAAATTTACACCTTCTATATGCCCAACATTCACTACCATATAACACCGGCTATGTTGTATGGTAGTGAATGTTGGGCAATAAAGGAAAAACAAGAGCACAAAGTTGGGGTAGCAAAAATGAGGATGTTGAGATGGATGTGTGGTCATACAAGAAAAGGTAGGATTCGAAATGAAAATATCAGAGCAAGAGTCGGTGTGGCACCTATCCAAGAGAAAATGGTTGAAAATTACTTAAGATAGTTTGGAAATGTGTAGAGAAGGTCATTGGAGGCCCCGGTGAGGAGGGTGGATCAGACAAGATGGAGTCCCATAAAAAGGAACAGAGAAAGACCAAGAAGAACGCTTAATGAGATCATTGAACAAGACCTCCTAGTCAACAACATATCTAAGGACTGAGTTGTTGACAAAGCACAATGGCGTTGTGTGATTCATGTAGCCGACCCCACCTAGTGGGATAAGGCTTATTGTTGTTGTTGTTGTATCCTATCCAAGCAGCAAGGGACATTGGAACCTCCAAAATTACAGGACCAACACATAGCAAGCTAACTCACGCATCAAAGTACATGCACATACCTTGCCAAGTTTGGTACATGAAAAAGTCCCTTCTAGAAAGGGAATGGGAAAAGAAAAGTTAGGCTTATGTGTTCGGAACAAAGGGTGAATGAGAATGAGAAAGGGTCTTCAAGGAAGTCCCTTCTCCATTACTCATTCTCATTTTATACCAAACACACGAGTCTAACTTTTCTTCTCCATTCCCTTTCTAAAAAGGACTTTTCCTCATACCAAACGTAACACAATGGTTTCAGACGCATAACAAAAACCTTTATGACTTTACAGTGCACATAACCATTCAGAGAATCAATTTCCAAGCCCCAGCACAAAAGTGAGATGCTCAATAATGTTAGCTCAGCATCAAAATAAAGCAGAGCAGAATAATTGAAAAATAGAACCTGCAGAGAGTAACCACTTAAATTCATAACAGCAGTTCATCTTGGCCTATTGAGACAACTGAACTAAGCATACAAATGGATTGGTAAAAACTCCTTTACAGCTAATAGATGCCACAACCAATCATATCTTCCATACTTAAAAATGCTCTATCACGATCACCTATATAAATCTCAACAACAAAGAATTGATTAAAAAAGTCTAGGCAAATAGAAGTGATAAAAAGAGTTTTCTGAATAGACAGCCTGATACACCAACAATTAAATGAGCAGATAAACTCTACAGTTCCAATTTCAAAGTAGAAACCTGCCCACCAATGAAGAAGGCAGCAAATTTAACAGAAGCAGCTACCTACAAAAACTATCAATTCAAATGGGTAGCCATGAACAAAAGCTTGGAGTTGGGGCAATACTAGTTATTTGTTCAGTTTAATACAGCAGACAGATATTCCAACCATAGTGTTTTGGTTCTCTAAATACATAATCTTAGGGAGACTTTGCCACAGCTCATTTCTTATGTTGAGTGCGCACTCTCTCCGTCCCGGGAGAAAGCTAATAGCTGCCAGCACATGACACACGGAACCAGTAATTTATAGATATAGATTCTTGAAGTGAATAGAAAAATGAGATCTATAAAATGTTGAAAGCCTATCTTGCGAACAATCTTTTCCATCATGCTTCCTCAGTATAGTCTTCATAATTTCAAGCACAAAATCATCATTATTTCCTACATAAAAGACATGGAGGAACAGTATAAAACTTTGTTCTCTTTTGGCACATGAAGAAATTTTAAGAAATTCATCAGCACAAAAACATGGCCTAATTTTGATATCTTTCGAGTTTCACAATTCATATGGCTTATGTAAGTCACTGAAGCGTCATAAAATCATCCAAGTAAAGAGCCGGCACCATTGCTAGAAACAATCACAAATGCAAACAAACATCCAAAATCAGCCCATTAATTTTTTTTCCCATCATTTCCACAGTAGAAAAACTAGATAAAATTTAGACGAACCCAATACCACCACTTCAAGCTGAATGAGAGGGAATCATCCCAGTCTGTCTTGCATATGCAAAAATCCCACCAGCCTCGATGACAGGTCCAGCATCGCCAATGGGCTTCAACTTGTACTCCTTTCCAGTCGAATGATTGATCAATCGGCTCTCACCGAGCTCTACTGTAACCACATCTCCTGTTTTACACTCCTCACATATTCTCACCTCCGACTCCAATGGGTAAACTTCCCCTGTGGCCACTGAATTTCTAAAAAATATTCGTGCATAAGACTCAGCCACCACAGCAGCTACACCAGAAGCACCCAGTGCCACCGGAGCATGCTCGCGAGACGAGCCACAACCAAAGTTGGATCCGGCAATGACAATTGAATACTTGGTTTTCATCTGGTTGGGCTCTATAAATCGAGTGGTGTAAGATGCGGGAAGGCCAATAAGAGCATATGATCCAAGCTGTTCATACTCATCAGGTTTAGAAGGGACTAGGGTTAAATACTCAGCAGGAATTATCTGGTCAGTATCAATATTGTCACCGACAACATAGCAGAGGCCATGAAAGGTTGTGGAATTGGCAGTAGGGGAAGGGCTAGGGGCAGGAGACGCACTCACACGTGAGAGCAACGAAGCAGTGTGGGGAGCAAGCCCTTGGGTGTGGCTGGTAAGGGGCTTCGCTACAATCGAAGAAGTGGGTAATCTAATGACCTGCCAACCTGACGAAGGTGAAAGGGAAAATGAGAGTTTGGGAGAAAAAGTGTGGCTAAGGTTCTGAGATACACTTGCAGAGGTTGCCATAGTCGAATTCAGAGAGGTTGGAGCTGGACTGTAAGAAAACTATGCGATATCAACTTCACCAAGAAGACCACAAAAAGGGTTTTAGATTGTGTTTGGCTCAACCTGCAATGTATTGATGATGAGTATATAACACGACTTGAGTATGTAACACACTTTGCAAAGTTTGGCAATTTATATATATTATAGGGATAATTCATATATAAATGCTTATAGTTTCAACTGGTTTTTAATTAGCTCTCTATAAATTTTTTTTTATCAGGTTCTTATACTTTCATATATTTTTAATCAAATCTTTATAATTTTTTTCTTTTTATCAGGTTCTTATTGTTTTACTTTGTTTTTAATTAGATCCTTGTAGTTTTTATTCTTTATTTTACAAATAATAACATTTTAAAAATAATAAATTATTGTAACAATCTTATGTTAATATTCCTTTAAATTTTTAGTTAAACAAATATATTATTTATTTTCAATTTGAATTTTTATAATGATAAAATTCAAATTAGGGATAATTCATATATAAGTTCTTATAGTTTCAACTGGTTTTTAATCAGATCCCTATAATTTTTTTTTTTAGGTCCTTATACTTTCATATATTTTTAATCAAGTCCTTATAATTTTTTTTTCTTTTTATCAGGTCCTTATTGTTTTACTTTGTTTTTAATTAGATCCTTGTAGTTTTTATTCTTTATTTTACAAATAATAACATTTTAAAAATAATAAATTATTGTAACAATCTTATGTTAATATTCCTTTAAATTTTTAGTTAAACAAATATATTATTTATTTTCAATTCAAATTTTTATAATTATAAAATTCAAATTATAATAATAAATTTTTCTAAAATTAAAATATGATTAGAAATAATTTATATTTAAGTATAATTATTATTCTGATTATTTATTAATTACTAAATCATTATATTAATTATTTTGTCCAATTATATAATTATTAATTTAAAAATGAAATTAATTTTAAAGAATAAAGTTAATAAATAATTTTTCAAAAACTACAAAGCACCTAATTAAAAAATAAGTGAAACTATAAGGACCTGATAAAAAAAAAAATAGAAGGACCTAATTAAAAACACACGAATATAAAAGGATCTGATAAAAAGAAAAAATTTTATAAGGACCTAATTAAAAATTAGATGAAACTATAAGGACCTGGAGATTAATTATCCCAATATTCAAAATACTCCACAACTTCAAATTTCAAAAGAACATGTAAAAATAAAAAATAAAAAATCTAGTTGTTTCCTTGGGAAGAAGTAAGATCCCTGATGTTAATATTATCAAAGAAATCAGAAATGTACCATTTAAATCAAGTATTTCAGCTGCAGATAGGGCTGAGCAATGGGCGGGGTGGGCTAGCCCGAAGGTTAGCCCATAGCCTGCCCATTTATGAATAAACGGGTATGAGCTAACCCATAACCCGGTAGCAACCCATTTAGCCCGTATTAAATGGGTTACGGGACAGCCCGTTTAGGCTGACCGGGTTATGGGGTAACCCATTTATTTTTTTTATTTTTTTGTAATTTTCTTAGCATAGTTATTTTGTATATGTAATCTTATGAAGCTGTCAATAAATTTTACATACCAAATAGCAAATCAAATATAAAATAATATCACATAATATCAACCATATTCAATCACACAACATCACTTAGAGTCACAAACAATCAAAGTTTGATAAAATCATAAGAGTAGTCACTAATCATAAAAAGTCTCATAAACTTTCAAAGTTCCAATTTCTACTTAAAGGATAAAATAAAAGTTTAGACAAGCATAAAAGTTTGATAAAAGATGAATGAGAAACAATATCATCAATTAAATGAAGAATAAAAATATTTATAAAAAAATTAAAACTTAAACGGGCGGGTATGGGCAGCCCAATACCTTGCCCATAGCCCAACCCGTTTAATGGGCTACTCTACCCATTTAAACCCGCCCGTTTATAATATCTTATTTGGGCTAATTGGACGGGCTTAAACAAGTAAAAATTTCATGGGCCACGAGCGGGCTGACGGGTAATGGGTTTGTTGCTCAACCTTAACTGCAGATGCGAGGAAGCCACATGAACAGAGAAGCAACCGGCAATGTCAGCAAAGCATGAATGGTGGAATTCAATAAGTTAAACTAAAGACTCACAATAAGACTCACCCCAAAAAAAAAAAAACTCATAACAGGAAAATTGAAGAGAAGAAACACAAATATAACAATAAATAGTAGAGTAAGATATAAGAACAGCGGAGCAATAGCATAACAACCATATGAACACGTCAAATAGCTAATGTTAAGCTCAATTATTAGCAAATCATAAGAATACTAAGAAAGCGATTATAGTTAATCCTAATTTAATCCTCAAGTATCAGATATCACCACGCATAACCCAGTGTGTACAGCAAAAGAAAGCAATGAAATAGTCAAGAGAAACCAACCCTGAACGAAATCAGCTACTTGTCGTAGGTTGCTCCAACGTCCTCTGATATGCCGGGAATTGGACTGCATGGAGATAGAGACAGAACGCCTAGATGCAAAAACCCTAGACGCAACCCCATTAGCTGATTTGATTTTTTTTGGGTGCCAGACCAAAATTCTTTGTAGGTCATTCTCACTGCAAATTTTCCCAAATCGCCATTGAAATCCTAAGCTGCCAACACTTTTTTTTTGTTTATATATAATGAGGTCAAAAAAATAATTATTGGGTTAAGGTACATATTTTTCTCAAAAGTTTTCAATTAGGACGGCCGGGTATCTAGAATTTTTTTTTCTTTTTTTTGGGGGCTCAATATGGCCTTGGAAGTTTCCAAATTGTAGCAATGTCACTCTGGCCATTATCAAGGTTAAGTTTAACTATTAATTGACCAAACATGCTGAGTTGGCAGGTCAACGTGTCATTCATGTCATTTTCTTTTTTTCTTTTTTCTTTTTTAACCTCATTATAATTCTAAAAAAAAGTGATGGCAATTTAGGATCTCAATGGCGATCTGGGAAAATTTAGGGTGATAATGACCCGCAACAAATTTTAGTTTGGCATCCAAAAGAAATCAAGTCACCTAAGGGGGCTGTGTCTAGGGTTTATGCTTCTAGGCGTTCTGTCTCAGTCTTAGTGCAGTGCAATTCGCGACATACCGAAGGATGCCAGTGCAACATGCAAAAATTAGTTAATTTCGTTCAAGATTGGTTTCCCTCCTGACTATTTTATTGCTTTCTTTTACTATACACTCGGTTATACATGATGATATTTGATACGGGAGGATTGAATTAGGATTAAATATGATCATTTTCTTAGTATTCCTATGATTTGCTGATAATTGAGCTTAACATTAGCCATCAGTCGTGCTCATATGGTTGTTCTGCTATTGCTCCACTATTCTTATATCTTACCTTATGTTATATTTGTGTTTCTTCTCTCCAAGTGAGTGTTTTCTTTTTTCGGTGGGTCCTATTATGATTCTTTTAGTTTAGTTTATTAAATTCCACCATTGGTTTCTTATCAGTTCATGTAGCTTCCTCCCATGTTCAGCTGAAATACTTGGTTTAAATGGTATATTTCTGGTTTCATCAGGGATCTTACTTTTTCCCAAGAAAACAATTTCTTAAGTTTAGACGCGTACAGACCGTTTAAGCCCGTTGTTAAACAGGCTGGTTCAAATGGACGAATTTTTTGGAGCAATAAAATGATCAGTTCTTTAACAAAATTATGGAGCAATAAAAATTTTCTGAAAAAAAAATATTACTTTAAACAAATTAACCCATATTTATTATAAATAACTAATTTTTTTTATTTATTCAAATCTAATTAAGTAGCTCTTTAAGTAGTGCCAGTAGTATTATTTATTACTTCTCGTCCAGCTTTTGATGTTGATACTTTGAACTTCTTCTCAGAGAAATTATCAGTTTTTTTAACGAAATTATGGAGCAATGTAGCACTTTTTTTTTTTTTTTTTAAAAAGTGTAATATTACTTTTTCTAATATTCAGCGTTGGATTGAAAAAAGGCATCTCAATCTAATCTATTAGTTAATCAAATATTGATTGTTAAATGGCAACGTTGCAAATATGTTGCTTGAAAATTCCCACGCCTGTTTATTAGATGAAGTTCGTTTGGTTTGTCCCAACTCATTCCAACCCTCGATGATTCTGTCTTCAAAAGAAACATGTTTAAGATTATTTGATTCCTAAATTTAAACATGTTTGATGAACTAATGAAGGGCTACAAAATATAAAACTACAAAATTAATAGAGGGGTGAAAAAGAAATTAAAAACAGTAACGTACTATTGGCAAATCTATAAAAATACCTGGAGAGAATAGTCAAGCGAATTTATTTTGTCAACATAATATGAAGAGAAGTCTCAAAGAAGACAATACTTAAATCAAGAATCCTACTTCAAAAGCAGGCGGAGAAGGATGGCCACAGGGCTGAGCTTCGGCATGTTAGAAGTACTGCTGCCAAAAAAAAAAACATAAAGGAAAAGTAAATAACTACTCACGCATAACTACAAATACAGAGATGTGTGTGTGTGTGTGTGTGTGAGAGAGAGAGAGAGAGAGAGAGAGAGACTAAATAAAGCAAGAGTTCATTCTTTCTCATTATCCATAAGAAACTCTTGAACGATCAAGCAAACAAACAAGAACTAATCATCTATTCATCTCAGTTGTAACATCTATTAGTTTATCAGCCAGCTTCTATTATGCTCAGCACAAACCAAGACACAGCGTATGAAGATATAATCAGATAATAGGTAAATTTACACCTTCTATCCTATCCAAGCAGCAAGGGACATTGGAACCTCCAAAATCACAGTATCAACATATAGCAAGCTAACTCACGCATCAAAGTACATGCACATACCTTGCCAAGTTTGGTACATGAAAAAGTCCCTTCTAGAAAGGGAATGGGAAAAGAAAAGTTAGGCTTATGCGTTCGGAACAAAGGGTGAATGAGAATGAGAAAGGGTTTTTGATAGGTACCCAAACCTTTGGAGAGCCAATCCCCAAAAGCTAGCTGTTAGGGAGGGAGAGCCATTGGTTTAAATACCCCATCAAGCAACCCATACTACCCGATGTGGGACTTTGCCCATACAAAGTCCCTATCAATATATCCTCCGCGGAAAACCAACGTCCTGGCGGCTCCACTCTACGACGCTTCACTCGACCCTTGCCAGTCAGCCCCTCCGCAGGTAGCCCTTTCCGATGCGTCGACCACCGGCTCTGATACCATTGATAGGTACCCAAACCTTTGGAGAGCCAATCCCCAAAAGCTAGCTGTTAGGAAGGGAGAGCCATTGGTTTAAATACCCCATCAAGCAACCCATACTACCCGATGTGGGACTTTGCCCATACAAAGCCCCTATCAGTTTTCAAGAAAGTCCCTTCTCCATTACTCATTCTCATTTTATACCAAACACACGAGTCTAACTTTTCTTCTCCATTCCCTTTCTAAAAAGGACTTTTCCTCATACCAAACGCAACACAATGGTTTCAGACGCATAACAAAAACCTTTATGACTTTACAGTGCACATAACCATTCAGAGAATCAATTTCCAAGCCCCAGCACAAAAGTGAGATGCTCAATAATGTCAGCTCAGCATCAAAATAAAGCAGAGCAGAATAATTGAAGAATAGAACCTGCAGAGAGTAACCACTTAAATTCATAACAGCAGTTCATCTTGGCCTATTGAGACAACTGAACTAAGCATACAAATGGATTGGTAAAAACTCCTTTACAGCTAATAGATGCCACAACCAATCATATCTTCCACACTTAAAAATGCTCTATCACGATCACCTATATAAATCTCAACAACAAAGAATTGATTAAAAAAGTCTAGGCAAATAGAAGTGATAAAAAGAGTTTTCTGAATAGACAGCCTGATACACCAACAATTAAATGAGCAGATAAACTCTACAGTTCCAATTTCAAAGTAGAAACCTGCCCACCAATGAAGAAGGCAGCAAATTTAACAGAAGCAGCTACCTACAAAAACTATCAATTCAAATGGGTAGCCATGAACAAAAGCTTGGAGTTGGGGCAATACTAGTTATTTGTTCAGTTTAATACAGCAGACAGATATTCCAACCATAGTGTTTTGGTTCTCTAAATACATAATCTTAGGGAGACTTTGCCACAGCTCATTTCTTATGTTGAATGCGCACTCTCTCCGTCCCGGGAGAAAGCTAATAGCTGCCAGCACATGACACACGGAACCAGTAATTTATAGATATAGATTCTTGAAGTGAATAGAAAAATGAGATCTATAAAATGTTGAAAGCTTATCTTTCGAACAATCTTTTCCATCATGCTTCCTGCAGTATAGTCTTCATAATTTCAACCACAACATCATAATTATTTCCTACATAAAAGACATGGAGGAACAGTATAAAACTTTATTCTCTTTTGGCACAAGAAGAAATTTTAAGAAATTCATCAGCACACAAACATGGCCTAATTTTAATATCTTTCGAGTTTCACAATTCATATGGCTTATGGAAGTCACTGGAGCGTCATAAAATCATCCAAGTAAAGAGCCGGCACCATTGCTAGAAACAATCACAAAGGCAAGCAAACATCCAAAATCAGCCCATTAATTTTTTTTCCATCATTTCCACAGTAGAAAAAATAGATAAAATTTAGACGAACCCAATACCACCACTTCAAGCTGAATGAGAGGGAATCATCCCAGTCTGTCTTGCATATGCAAAAATCCCACCAGCCTCGATGACAGGTCCAGCATCGCCAATGGGCTTCAACTTGTACTCCTTTCCAGTCGAATGATTGATCAATCGGCTCTCACCGAGCTCTACTGTAACCACATCTCCTGTTTTACACTCCTCACATATTCTCACCTCCGACTCCAATGGGTAAACTTCCCCTGTGGCCACTGAATTTCTGATAGAACGCTTGGAAGAAGACAGCTAGGAAATAGGATCAATTCAACGTATAACCTCTATATTAACGGGAAAATGTAGAGATTACAATGGGAACCTATCAAACAGTATCATAATAATAATAAGAACAGAACAAGGATATACTGCCCTCACAGCCTGGTATTCGAGAGACCAGGACCTCTCCTCACGTCCACTCTCCAAAAAAGCAATCCTTGACCTTCCCCCACAGCGTCACTGCTCTTAACGTCTTCCACTACCCTGCAAATGTCAGAGTCCGTTACCCACAGTCTCTCTCTCATCCAGACTCTCACTTGTTGGGCTGTCTTTTGCATCCAAGTTAGCTCCTAATGGGTTGGGCTCTCTTTCTCTCCCTTCCCGCCCCCTTCTGGTGTATTTTCGGCCCCAAAACCTTACGGTCTCATCAATTTCTAAAAAATATTCGTGCATAAGACTCAGCCACCACAGCAGCTACACCAGAAGCACCCAGTGCCACCGGAGCATGCTCGCGAGACGAGCCACAACCAAAGTTGGATCCGGCAATGACAATTGAATACTTGGTTTTCATCTGGTTGGGCTCTATAAATCGAGTGGTGTAAGATGCGGGAAGGCCAATAAGAGCATATGATCCAAGCTGTTCATACTCATCAGGTTTAGAAGGGACTAGGGTTAAATACTCAGCAGGAATTATCTGGTCGGTATCAATATTGTCACCCACAACATAGCAGAGGCCATGAAAGGTCGTGGGATTGGCAATAGGGGAAGGGCTAGGGGCAGGAGAAGCACTCACACGTGAGAGCAACGAAGCAGTGTGGGGAACAGGCCCTTGGGTGTGGCTGGTAAGGGGCTTCGCCACAATCGAAGAAGTGGGTAATCTAATGACCTGACGACCTGACGAAGGTGAAAGGGAAAAATGAGAGTTTGGGAGAAAAAGTGTGGCTAAGGTTCTGAGATACACTTGCAGGGGTTGCCATAGTCGAATTCAGAGAGGTTGGAGCTGGACTGTAAGAAAACTATGCGATATCAACTTCACCAAGAAGACCACAAAAAGGGTTTTAGATTGTGTATGGTTCAACCTGCAATGTACTGATGATGAGCATATAATACAGCTTGAGTATATAACACACTTTGCAAAGTTTGGCAATTTATATATATTTAAATATTCAAAATACTCCACAACTTCAAACTTCAAAAGAACATGTAAAAAAGAAAAAAGATCAAGTTGTTTCCTTGGGAAGAAGTAAGATCCCTGATGTTAATATTATCAAAGAAATCATAAATATACCATTTGAATCAAGGGAGGAAGCCACATGAACAGAGAAGCAACTGGCAATGTCAGCGTAGCATAAATGGTGGAATTCAATAAGTTAAACTAAAGACTCACAATAAGACTCACCCAAAAAAAAAAAAAAAAAAGAACTCATAACGGGAAAATTGAAGAGAAGAAACACAAATATAACAATAAATAGTAGAGTAAGATATAAGAACAGCGGAGCAATAGCATAACAACCATATGAACACGTCAAATAGCTAATGTTAAGCTCAATTATTAGCAAATCATAAGAATACTAAGAAAGCGATTATAGTTAATCCTAATTTAATCCTCAAGTATCAGATATCACCACGCATAGCCCAGTGTGTACAGCAAAAGAAAGCAATGAAATAGTCAAGAGAAACCAACCCTGAACGAAATCAGCTATTTGTCGTAGGTTGCTCCAACGTCCTCTGATATGCCGGGAATTGGACTGCATAGAGATAGAGACAGAACGCCTAGATGCAAAAACCCTAGACGCAACCCCATTAGCTGATTTGATTTTTTTTTTGGGTGCCAGACCAAAATTCTTTGTAGGTCATTCTCATTGCAAATTTTCCCAAATCGCCATTGAAATCCTAAGCTGCCAACACTTTTTTTTTTTGTTTATATATAATGAGGTCAAACAACATATCTAAGGATTGGGTTGTTGACAGAGCACGATGGCGTCGTGTGATTCATGTAGCCGACCCCACCTAGTGGGATAAGGCTTGTTGTTTGTTTGTTATAATGAGGTCAAAAAATTAATTATTGGGTTAAGGTACATATTTTTCTCAAAAGTTTTCAATTAGGACGGCCGGGTATCCAAAAATTTTTTTCTTTTTTTTGGGTGCTCAATGTGGCCTTGGAAGTTTCCAAATTGTAGCAATGTCACTCTGGCCATTATCTAGGTTAAGTTTAACCATTAATTGACCAAACATGCTGAGTTGGCAGGTCAACGTGTCATCCATGTCATTTTCTTTTTTTCTTTTTTCTTTTTTAACCTCATTATAATTCTAAAAAAAAGTGATGGCAATTTAGGATCTCAATGGCGATCTGGGAAAATTTAGGGTGATAATGACCCGCAACAAATTTTAGTTTGGCATCCAAAAGAAATCAAGTTAGCTAAGGGGGCTGCATCTAGGGCTTTTGCTTCTAGGCGTTCTGTCTCAGTCTCAGTCTCAGTGCAGTGCAATTCCCGGCATATCGAAGGATGCCAGTGCAACATGCAAAAATTAGTTAATTTCGTTCAAGATTGGTTTCCCTCCTGACTATTTTATTGCTTTCTTTTACTATACACTCGGTTATACATGATGATATTTGATACGGGAGGATTGAATTAGGATTAAATATGATCATTTTCTTAGTATTCCTATGATTTGCTGATAATTGAGCTTAACATTAGCCATCAGTCGTGCTCATATGGTTGTTCTGCTATTGCTCCACTACTCTTATATCTTACCTTATGTTATATTTGTGTTTCTTCTCTCCAAGTGAGTGTTTTCTTTTTTCGGTGGGTCCTATTATGATTCTTTTAGTTTAGTTTATTAAATTCCACCATTGGTTTCTTATCAGTTCATGTAGCTTCCTCCCATGTTCAGCTGAAATACTTGATTTAAATGGTATATTTCTGGTTTCATCAGGGATCTCACTTTTTCCCAAGGAAACAATTTCTTAAGTTTAGACGTGTACAGACCGTTTAAGCCCTTGTTAAATAGGCTGGTTTAAATGGGCGAATTTATGCAGGTTATGCGGAATCCGTTTAAGGCAAGGAGATTTGGAACCTGTTCAAATTTAAAGACAAAAATTTTATCTCATATTCTCATTACTACTAAACTTTTTCAGCTTAAAGGCGAGACATATAATCAGATTCAAACAAGACGAATCTCACTTACAACTCACTGAAATCAGCCAATAAAAGTATTAAACTAATCAAATTGATCTCAAATCTTTCATAGTTGAAACTCCAGCTTTTCTTCTACATATAAAAGTCGAACTGTCGAAGATGAAATGAAATGGAAAATGGAAGATTTGAAGCTTACAAGAGACAAGAGTGAGACTGAGTGACCGCAAAGGGGACCGTCGGAGGTCGAACCGCAAGAGGACCGTTGGACAGAGACTGGCTGGGCCGCGAGACACCGACACCGGGACCGAGTGAGCGTGAGACACCGAGGAGGGGAGAAGAGAAGGCGAGAGGGGAGAGTCGTGAGCCTGAAAGAGGGAAAATCGTAACCGAGTGTGAGTGAATGCCCCAAGTCTCGCAATTTTCCCCCTTTTCTTTATTTATTTTGAACATGTTATACCTAAAAATTATTTAGACCGTGATCAAGTTTAAACTTGTACAGAACTCATTCATACAGAGAACTAATTTAGTGGGACTCACATCACAAAACAACAGAACTTGTTCAAACTGAGAACGAGTTTAGTGAGACCCACATAAAAAAAATAAATATATTTATCTTTTACTTACACCTGTCACTATACACTTCACGTGCTTCTTTCTTTTCATTTTGACTAGACTCTACATACTTTTTTTTTTTCTTTCAACCACATGCAAAGCTACTGCTCATGGACATGGTTAATTTCCTTTCCCAGATACTCTCATTAGTATCGGGGCGTAGGGAGTAGTCATTTGAAGTATCCTCAACTCACGCTTGGAAAGCATTTTTTTTTGGCATGTGAGTGTGTAGTGTACATTTCATTATTGTGCATATAATGCATGCAATTTCTCACTCAAATCTACCTTTCTTCTCATTACTTCTCAAGTTCTCCAGCTTTTTTCATTTTTCTTTCTCCTTCCACACTTTTGTTTAGTGAAGTTCGTGGTATGTGCGGTCTTGCAAATATTATATACATTTTATCTCAACTTGAAACTTAATTTTTCTTCTGACTAAGGTACATTCTCTTGATTAATTTTTTTTAAAAAATTTTGTGTGTGTTTTGCTAAATGATGGATAAGAATTTTATACTTAGTCATTTTTATATGTTGAGTTTCTTTTAATTAAAAAATATAGACATATAATTAATTTCATATAAAATAAATTGTGGTTAAATTTTTTATAATAAGATTAAATATATATTTTTGAGTAGATAGTGTTTAAGTAAATATATAGTCAGATTAAATATGTATCTATCTAATTAGATGGTATTTGGTCTTGAGCTTAGTTTGATCTTTTATCTGGCCAATGAAAACTATCACTAAATGGTGCCAAAATTTTTCTGATAGAAAGAGTACTAATGGTAAGATTAATAATGATGAAAGAATCGTCTAATAGAGCTCTTAGTGGGTTAGGATTTTCTCTCTCTTGGGATTTGCGCCAACGTGTAAATGTCTGAATCTGGCCAACGTAAGGTCCCACCGGACTGTCCGCTTGCCGATGATCAAAGTATTGAACGAAAAAAAAAAGGTGGAGGAGGTCCCACAAGCCATAATGGACGATAGGATGGATGAAAACCAAGATTGCGATCAAGAAACGCAAAAAGATATGGGCAAAGGGGAAAGAGAACCGGAAGAGAAATTGCCGGAAAACTCAGAAACTATGACCCAGAAAATTCCGTCGTATCGGGAATCTCTAATGGGTTTCAATGGAGTTGCAAATTGGTCTAGTGTAATGGAGGAAGATGACCTTCTTAAAGGAGATGATGACTTTTACTGGAAAATGCCAGAGCCCTCAGAGGAAGTTAAGAAACTCATGGAAATCTACCTAGTTGTGCCAGCCACACAAGATGAGTTCAATGAGTGGTGTGAACCGTGGAATCATTCTCTGATTCTGACTATTCTAGGCAAGAGATTTAATCTATACTGGTTGAAAGATTTCTTCAGGAAGGCGTGGGGATTCTCAAGTTTTGAACTGATCGACCTGCCAAACAACTATTTCCTGGCCTGTTTTATAGATACAAAACAGTGGAAAAACCATTACAGGAAAGTCTTATGTGAGGGGCCGTGGATCGTCAGTCAACATTGCATATTAGTGCAACGATGGAACCCTTACTTTAATCCTTGCCAGAACCCGCTAGGGCGAGTGGCAACATGGGTTAGAATTCCAGACATTCCAATGCATTGCTATAATCACCATTTTATATCAAGATTGGGGGACAGGATAGGAAGAACTCTGAAAGTGGATCTTAAGACCCTCGAAGATTTCAGCACCAGAAATGCCAGAGTTGAGCGAGGCAGATTTGCAAGGATTTGTGTGGAATTAAACTTGCAAAAGCAACTGGTCCCAAAAATCATTTTTGCCGATTCAGTTTTTAACGTGGAATACGAAGGTTTGGGATTCAGACATAAGCGTGAAGCATGCCCTTGGAAAGGTAGTTCGGCCAACCCCTCTGAAAGGAACCCCTCTCCGTCTCAACCCACACCACAACAAACATATAAACCGGAAAACCCAGAAACAGCCGGTAGGGAGAAATTCGGTGAATGGATGATAGTCTCCCGTTCAAACAAAGCACGACTATTGAGATAGGCAAATCAGAAGGGACTGCAAAATGCGGCGGGAAGGACGGAAAATCGTACCAGAAGAATCCCATCTTTTGGACAGAGCACCAGATTCGCTGTGTTTGGTGAGATGCAGGATGAAGAAGTAGAGGGTATAGGGCAAGGAACTGATCACAAATCAAGTCCCACCGACCCTGACAGAGATGGAAAAGCTTTGGTGGTAGTAGAAAAGAGGAAAGCTCTGGCTGCACCATCTAACAAAACGTATGAAGTGAGAAGAAGAATAGGGACGAAGGAAAAGGCTAAAATAAAGGTCAACTCTAGGCCTAAAGGAAAAGAGAACCAACAACCGGGTATTGGGCCAAACTTCAACGCTGGACCGTCCAAAACTTCTGGGTAAGGAAATGAAAGGGAGCGGGCTGTTACTATCAGCCAGGAGCCCAAAGGTGGGAAAGCCAAAAGTAAAAACTTAAGGACCCACGTGGTGATCCAAGGACACCTGGACAACATTGACTTGCAAAGGGCAAAGGACCAAGAATTATGTAATAAGCATGAGGTGAAAACTATTCGGGCCTCAGAAAAACCAGACTTCGCACAACAATACGGGGATATCAGCAGCATAAAGACGTCAAATAGCTTGGTCATATACCAACCAAAGCCCCCAGATCCTCTACGATCAAATGTTGATGATGGCGAAGACACTATGGATGAGCAAGAGTCAGTAGTGGCCGAAACCCAAGATGATACTGGTGTTGCCGAGACTCCTGGCATGCAACGTCAGTAAGACTTTTCCTCTCTCTCTGATTTTATTTTATAATTATGATAATGGCAACATGGAACTGCAGGGGGGCCGGAAGCCGTGCCTTCCCAATTGTAGTTAAAGACATTGTTTCTAAATACGGGATTGAAATCCTTTACCTCATGGAACCTCGTATTAGTGGAAATAGAGCCGATAAAGTGGTGCACAAATTGGGTTTTGGAAGATGGCTTAGAATTGAAGCAAATGGATTTACGGGTGGTATTTGGATGCTCTGGAACGATGTAAATTTTGAAATAACTTGCATCACTTCCAACACTCAACTCCTACACTGTCAGGTCTTAGATTGGCGCACCAGAAAACAATTCAGGCTTACTGCAATTTATGGAGAAACAACAATCAAGGGGCGCCTATCCCTATGGGACTCTATCCGGACCTTAGCAGAAAGCACAACCAATCCATGGATTCTTTGTGGTGACTTTAATGCTTTCCTATTAGCCAGGGATAAGGAAGGAGGGGCAAGAGCGGATGAAAACTCAATGGAAAATTTTCAGGAATGTGTTGAGGATGCAGGGCTTATCGAAACTCAAACCCAAGGTGACCACTTTACTTGGGGGAGAGAAGGTCTGAAGGAAAAAATCGATTAGGTCTTTCATAATAGCTATTGGGAGTCTGCTTATCCAAATACAAAAGTCGAACATGGCCTGAAATTTAAATCTAACCACAGAATCATCATTAAAACCACGGAGCCCCAGATCAGCCAACTTGTAAACAAAGGCTTGAGATTCTCTTACCAAGCAGCCTAGAGCCTAGAAGAAAGTTTCAAACATTGTGTGACAAAAGCTTGGGTGAACAGAAACTGGCTGGAGGGACTTGGGGTTTTTCAGACATCATCTAAGGAATGGAGCGATAATCAAGTGGGAAACATCACTAAGAAGAAGCGAGAAGTGATTCGAAGGTTGGAAGGGATAGATAAAAGCAGAAGAAATCATGAAAAAACTTGACTATTTCAAATTGAACAGAAGCTTTGGAGAGAGTACCACAAATTGGCAGGTCAGGAAGAATTAAGTTGGTTCCAAAAATCTCGTTGCAAATGGCTCAAATGGGGTGACCAGAATACATCATCCTTCCACGCTTGCATAGTGATCAAAAGAAAGAAACAAAAAATTACTGCCCTGCAAGATGATTTAGGGGAATGGATTGATGACCCGGCTAGATTAAAATAGATGGCGACAACTTTCTTCCAAGAATTATACACTAGTGACAACTAGATAGGGGACCCTTCGGAATGGCTGGCCAACTTTCCTTCCCTAACTTTAGACGAAATTAGAGAAATATCCAAGATAGCAGAACCAGAGGAGATCAAGCTAGCGGTTTTCAATATGGGAGCTTTCAAGGCTCCAGGACCAGACGGCTTGCAGGCACACTTTTTTCAGATACAATGGCCTTTGATTGGGAGCAAGGTGGTTGAATTAATACAAAGTATCTTTCTAAATCCTCTTCTGGTGGAAAAAATTAACCAAACCAGAATTGTCCTTATTCTGAAAGTAGACTTGCCTATGACCTTCAAAGATCTAAGACCGATAGCCTTGTGTAACATCACACTGAAGATTGTCACTAAGCTGATTGCAACTAGACTAAAAGGGGTAATGGGAAAGCTAGTCAGCCAGGAATAATGCAGCTTCATAGCAGACAAGTCGAGTTGTGATAACATTATTATTGCTCAAGAAGCTATTCACACCATGCGTCAGAGCAGAAGAAGAAAGGGAGATGTGGCTGTCAAGGTTGACATGGAAAAGGCATATGATAGATTAGAGTGGTCTTTCATCCGAGACACCCTAAAATGCCTCAACCTTGAAGAGAATCTTATCAATCTTATAATGGCTTGTATCAGCACCGCTTCACTATCCGTACTCTGGAATGGGGAAGAAAGCCTAAACTTTAAGCCCTCTAGGGGGATCTGACAAGGTGACCCCCTGAGCCCTTATATCTTTGTGCTGTGTATGGAGCTACTAAGCCATACTATCAGAGCTGAATGCTTAGCTAAGAGATGGAAACTACTCAGATTTGTAAGTAATGGACCGGCAGTCTCACATCTATTTTTCGCTGATGATCTAATTCTCTTCACAGAGGCAAGCATGAACCAGATGGAGTAAATCAAACGGGTTTTAGGGAAGTTTTGCAAGGTGTCGGGCCACATGGTAAACTTGGCAAAGTCTAAGATTTTTTGCTCTAAACATATCCACATTAACCATGCAAATGAACTTAGTCAGAGTCTTGGTATTGGGCTGACATCTGATTTAGGGAAGTACCTAGGAGTACCCTTACTTCATAAAAGGGTTACTAAGGAGACTTTTAAGCAATTGATACAGAAAACTAAAAGAAAACTATCCCTGTGGAAATGTAGACACCTTACTATGGCAGGGAGGTCAGTCCTTATCAAATCTGTTCTATCAGCTCTACCAAGCTATAAAATGTAGTCTCAAATGCTTCCAAAAGGGACCATTCAGGAGCTCGAAAAAATTAGCAGGCGATTTCTCTGGTCACAAGATGAAAGCATAAGGAAACTACACCTTATATCTTGGGAGACGGTTACAAAACAGAAAAAAGCCGGTGGCCTGGGTCTAAAGAATCTGGTGAAACAAAATCAAGCTTTCACTCTTAAACTATGCTGGGGGTTATTGATGAAGGAAGATGCTTTATAGGTACAAATATTGAAGGCAAAATACAGTTGCGGTACTGCTAATATGCCAAATGTTAATAAGAAAAAGACAGAGTCAAGAACATGGCAAGCTATCCGAGGTGCTTGGGATTGTTTTGTTTCTGGGTTAGGGAAGAAAATTCATAATGGCTGAAACACAGCTTTCTGGGTAGACCTATGGGCACCACTGGCTAGACCCCTGATCTCCTATGTAGGTGACCCAAGGGGAATCAATATATCTGAAAAGGTTAGTGAACATGTTACTGTCACTGGATATTGGCCTATTGGGATACCTCCAGATGGCTGGGAAATCTACCTCGGTGGGTCATAAATATCATAAGAAGGCTGAAACCCCCAAGTCCTGGCCATGAAGATAGCTTTCAGTGGAAACTGGCTCTAGATAGGGCCTTTTCTGTTAACTCTGCTTATAAATTCTTGATGAAGGAAGAGGCAATAGCAGATCAATCCATTTACAACCAGATTTGGAAGTGGCAGATCCCCGAGAAAGTCAAGATTTTCATGTGGCAATTATCTCATGGGAGAGTACTCACAAATTCACTAAGAGCTCAATGGGGTCTATCCAATTCGAGTCAATGCCCTTTTCTGTGTCAAAGTGAGGAGAGCATTTTACATACACTAAGAGACTGTGAGAGAGCTAGAAACTTTTGGAGTCAAATGTTATTAGCTAACCATACTTCTAGTTTCTTTTCTGGTAATTTGCAGGTATGGCTCAAGTGGAACACTCGAAATAACCCGGGGAAAAAATCTCTTCGCAACAATCCTTGGAATAGAGTTTTTAGTTTGGGTTGCTGGATTCTATGGACTTCCATATGCCAATATGTCTTCGAAGGAACCACACGATCTACGGTGGATCTTGTGCACCAATGCTCTTATCTCATCATGGAACAAGTGACAAACAATGAGCTCTATCATCAAGTATATAAGGAGGTGGGGGATCAAGAACCAAGATGGACACTACCACCACAGGACGCAATTTGAATCGATGTTGATGGCTCGGTAAGATACGGACAACAAGCGGCATGCGGAGGATTAATTCGGAACCATGAAGGAAAATGGATCATGGGATTCACTAAATCTTTGGGTATATGTTCTGTCCGAGAAGCTGAGCTACTGGTAATCAAACACGGACTGGAGCTCGGCCATCAATTGGGATTCCAAAAAACTCTAATATATTCGGATTCTCTGGACGTTTTTAACATTCTCACAAGAGACTATGCAGCAGACCACTCCATGAGCATTTCACTCCGAGAGGTTAGAAATCTTCTATTGCAAAATGGAGAGACAGAGCTTCGACATACACGCAGAGAGAATTTGAGGTGTGCAGATTACCTTGCGCAAAGGGGACATGCAAGCTCGGGGGAGATGATTTTATTTCCGGATATTCCAAGTGGATGTTGGCACGTGTTTTTAGAAGACCTTCAGAGAGACCAATAGATCCCTTGACTGGCTCTCTGCGTTTTTACTGTAATCTTTTTTGTCTCGTGTAAGACTTTTTCAAGCCTTGGCTTGCCTCTTTTTCCAAAAAAAAAAATAATGATGAAAGAAAGGA